TGGCCTTAGACTAAGAATAGCTAAGAGCATTGTTATGATCTGGCCTTAGACTAAGATAAGTTAAGAGCGTTGTTATGATTTGGCCTTAGATTAAGAATGATTTAAGAGCACTATCGAAATAATAACTGAATTGAATAAAATATGCTGATAAGAACTGAATAAATTATGAATTTAGATTCAGTTTATATGGATGTTCGACGCATTAGATATGCTTACTCAGCTTTACCGCTGAGCGTGTAGTATGTTTTATTTGCTACACGCAGGTAAACAGAAAGAACAATGTGATCCTGGTGGCAGATGAGGCGAGATTGTCGGGATGGATGTGACAAGTTTTGAAATGAATTATGATATGTCAATTTTTAATTCGCTTCCGCAATATTGTTGAATACTCCGTACTGTATATGTTATGAAAAATATTATTGTGATAAATAAAAGTGTTTGAAAAGTTTAAAATTTTTACGATTTCCAAGTTAATACTTTAGTCCAAAAGGGGCTGCAGACCTGGACGGATTAGGGTGTTACAGTTAACAAGGATGATATCCATTTGTTTCATGTTCTTTTGAACGACGTCAAATTTGATTGGATCCATTTCTTTCTCATTGCTCTTCGTGATGGCTCTCGACTCCATCACCTTCGTTTTGCCGTCCCTATTATGCTTATCCTTCTCAATTCGGGAGTGGACTTTTCACGGGACATAAGGGTGTCGGTGAAGAAGACGTGCTTCATCCAAGAGACGAAGTTCATCCGTGTCGTTTGCCGGAACGAGGGTGAAATGCCTCAACAACAAGTGATCGAGCAAACTGAAGGCGTCCTTGAGAGTGAAGCCGAGACCAAGGCCGTTCGTAGTTGCTCTAGAGCAGGACCTACCAATGCTGGGGAAGGAACAAGCAATGCAGGAGAAGAAACTAGCCGAGCTGCGGTAAGAGAAGCCCGACACCGTTGCCCAAAACCGAGAACGGATGAGACTGAGCCTTCATGGGTCCGGAGGATTTTGGACGCCATCACATGTGTTCGTGACAACATCCGACATCTTACCAATCGAGTCTCTCACCTTGAGGATTCTCACTTCTCTCGCTCATACCGAGGTCCTCGACACAGCTTCTCTAGAGGACCTAGGCCAGCAAATTCTCTTTGACTCTTTTTTTAAGGACTAATTTTTTTCATGACTTGATTCCTGTTTATGACATTATGACAGCTCCTTGTTGAATGTTTGCTTAAACTCTAACATTATTATTGCTTATGTGATTGTTTGGCAATATGTTTCTCTCCTAGAGCTTATTGTCCCTTTGAAAATCAAATTGCATTAGTTCACTTTTTAAGGGAAACTCTTGCAAAGTTTTTTTTGAAATTCTTTTCGAAATCTTTTTGGCTATTCTTATCTACCCGGGCTTAGCTTAAGGGGGATAGACCTTTTGATAATGCCAAAAGGGGGAAGGAAGGATAGTTGATAAATTTTTTCAAAACGTTTTCCGCTATCACTCTGTGTTACTTCCTTTTACTTCTTACATGCAGGGGGAACTCTTCAATCGAAGGAAAGTTCTTTTTCTTTACTCTTTTGCTCTTATCTCAACTATGTTTTTCATTATCAAAAAGGGGGAAATTGTTGGACATGAGTTCAAACCCTTTTTAGATATTTTTTTTGGAAATTAATCTTTCAGGTTTTGATAAATGACAAACGCAAAGAAGAACGAAAATTTATTTTTCGGTTCAAGAAAGCAAAAGACACATGAAGAATTTCACAACGACTCTCGTTCATTATCCATACGCAAGATCTTGAAGTAAAGAGAAGCTTTGCGAAGACTTTTATTTCTTTGAGTCTAGGAAATTTGTAAGAATGACAAAATATCTTTTTACTTAAAAATTTACTTTATTGAGGGATATACATTTAAAACTTATATTTGTTTTTGGAGTCTATTGAAAAATCCTTTAGTGATTCAAAAATAAATCTATTGAGTCAATTACAAAAGATGTGTCAAACAATTTTAAATATTTATTTTGATATTAGAAAAAAAAATTTGAAGCAAAAATACTTTTACCCCAGATATTTTTTTGACATCGTTTGACACACAAAATATTTTTTTTTTGGACTCCATTTCTATACCCTATATCTCAAATTATCCCATTTATTCAAATTTTTTTTTGAATATCTTAGCATGTGATTGGGAGCCTTTGTCTCAAAATCTTGTTGGAAACAACAAGATATGGACAATTGTCCTTCACTATCTCGCCATTGATTGAGTTTTCCTGTCTCTGAGAAATCCGCATTATTAATCGATTTTTTATGTGTGTGAAAATCGATTTCTTCTATATCACTGATTGGGTTTTCTCGCCCAGTTTTTTAATCGATTTTTTTACTCCCTGTGAAATCGATTTCTGGTATAAATCGATTAAAGCAGTTCATTATTAATCGATTAGACACCTTAGCGCAGAAGAAATTCTACTCAGAAGCGTCTAATCGATTTTCCTTATTTGTGCAAATCAATTTTTTGTCTGCTGAATCTCATACTTAGCCATTTTCTTTCCCCAACGGACATATCCAATTTCTTCTTATATAATCCCTCTTCATCTCTCATTCTACACACAATACAAGCACTCCAATCCTTTCATTCATTACTATTGATTCTTGCTCCATCTCTTGATAATCAAATACTATTTTGAGAGCTAGATTTATATATATTATTTCTCTTGAGTGCAAAGATATTGTCATCCATAGAACTTACATTTTAAACACTCCTTGCTCTTTTGTGAGCTTCATTTCTTGTGTTGCTAAACTCGTCTTGTTTGAGTGTTGTTCTTAAGACTTTTGTGACTCAAGTCTTGGTGTTGTAAGAAAGTGAGGCTTGTGTGATTCAAGTTCTCAAGTTGTACCAGTTTTTCAAGCACCCGTTGAAGCTTGAAGATTAGTAGGATTTTCGAGAGAGTCTCTCGGGGGACTGGACAGCCACGAGGTGGTGAACGAGTATATATCTCGGTGTTCTTCTTTCCCTTACTCTTTTTATTTATTCCTGCGATTTTTATTTCACACACGCGAAAAACGCACATTCTTGAAAACAACTCTATTCACCGCCCTCTAGAGTTGTAAATTTGTCTAACAACGAATTCTTAGAGTGTTAAATGTCAATTTGGAGAACTCAAATAAAAACTCACCTACATAAGAGCACCCACATTGGGTGGTGGACTAAAGGGAGGACTACTCCTCCTTCTCTCTTCCACATCAGATTTTGTGGATCCAAAATACAACTCCTCCATTTACTCCTCCTTATCTCCTACATCAAAAGGATTACTAAAATACTATTCATTATATTTCTTAAAAGATTTTTTATTAAATATTTATACTATATGTACAATTATATGAATTTACAAATTAATGAAAAATATAATTGTATTTCTTTTTTATGGTTTTGACAATAAAATTGTAATTCATTAATAAAAATAAAAAAGTTAATTAAATTTATTTCAACAAATGAATCTCGAAACAAAATTAAATTAAAGATGCCTACCTATATCTTTCTAACAAATTGAATTTAATTTAAACTTTCAACATATAGTGTTAAATTGTCACACACCAATAATCTTATTTAAGAGTCAAAAACGAGATACCCCTATTTGTTGATAATTTTTTTTATATTTTACTTCTAATAATGTAGATTTCTCAATTTTCATTTGAGAACAAAATAAAAATTTTATTTAAAAAAATTTCTAAAATTTAATTATACTTATTCCTATAAAAAAACTACTTAGCTTTCTCATATATAAAAAGAATGGAAGGAAATGCCACATGTCAAGAAGGGATTGGCTCTCCCATCCCATTTCTTCTTCTTCTCCACGGACTAGAACTCCTCCTTCTCTCTCTTGAGGAGGACTTCTCCTCCTCCCTCTCCTCCTTCCAATGCTTGTACTCCTCCTGGAGGACTTCTTCTTCTCCTTCAAGTACTCCATTCAATGCGGGTGGCCTAAGGGAGGAAAAGGTGAGATTAGGGTGACTGGGCGAGGCATAGAAAGAGGCATTAGTTTTGAGAGTGATCATTAAAAACTTTTATTTACTTTAGCTTTAAAAAAAACTTGACTCAGTCTCTCACTCAGATGGTAATATGGTAAGAAATACATAGACATACATATAGATACACACATTCTCATTTATAAATATCTAACGAAAGTAATTTATAACATTTGACTAAACTTATACTAATATACTTGAGTTATTTTACTAAGTTAAAAAATAAAATTAACATATTAAAAAAATAATATTAAAAATTTTATAAATGAAGAGTTGATTTAATTTTTTTTCAAATAAGTTGTTTAATATTAAAAAACATTCTAATGAAATCTTTGCATGATATGCATTTTGTAATAGTATCAATAATATCAATGATTTTGTGTTTGACTCATAGCTATATAATATTATATTTTTAAAATAAAAAAGGAATTTTTATACAATTTTTTTAAATTATGAAATATTATACTCCCTCCGTCCTAGAGTATTTGTCCACTTTCATTTTTACACACCATCCAATGCACTTCTTTAATCCATTTTATCTTGTAATTTGTATATTAAAAAATTATAGAAATTATATATTAATAATCTATATGTTAAGACAAATCAAGCAAAATCACACATGACTATATTTAGTGATGGAGGACGACCCCAAAAGACACGTCATCCGGGACCCATCAGCCACGTGGAGGATCTTCTCTGCTCGGCCCATGAACTCGGCTCGCCGTATGGGTTCGGCTCGGGTAGCGAGCTCGGCTGGGGACCGTGATAGCGACTTCCGGATAGCGACCGGCCACGTTGACTGCGCGACAGCGACGGGATGAAAGGGACAACGCATAACAGGGATGACGTCCGCTAGGCGACGAACCTCGATCAGAGAAACTTTGACTATGTGTATTGTATCCCCTATAAAAGGGGTGAGACCCCTCATTGTAATGGATCGAAGAAAAAACAAAAAACTCCTACTTTGCTCTTTCTCTCTCTCTAAAACTTATATTATTCTTCATTCTCGGTGGTTCTTGACCATCAAATTGGTGCTTTCATTGAGAGCTGAGGAACATACTCGTAGGTTAACTCCTCAACGCGAGATTGGTGCAAACCAGGAGCAACGTTCCCACCACCAGGCGCTGTTCGGGTTGGGGGTGACCACGGAGCAACTCCATGCGGCCGTTGCGGCACTTTCCGCCATGGGTGGGAACGTGCCCGGTGCCGGGGTTGGCAAAGCTCCGCTCGGTCACCACACCGAGCACGCTGCCACTTCCTAGCACAAGGGAAAGAAGACGCGGAGGAGCAGGAGGAGGCCCGGCAAGGGTCCGCTGATCGAGGAGGTGTTGATGGAGGACGTCCCAGAAGGGGAGGACGATGAGTCCAGTGAGTGTAGAATCTCGGCCTTCAAACGCTTGGGAGGCGAGGATACCCGAGTGTCGGCATTCGACCGGCTCAACCGTGGACCGGAAGGCCGTCTAGTTGATCTTCGCCAGCAGATCTCTGAGGGTAGGCGGAGGAACGCTGAGGAATCAGCGACCTCGGATGCGCGCTCGGCAAGACCTGAGCGAACCAAAGGCCGAATGGACGAGCGAACTCAGCGTCGCCAGAGCCCATCCAGAACCGAGAAGACTAAGGTCCCTGAACGGGGTATGACTGAGCTTGCGCGCGAGATTGCCGAGCTCAAACGCCGAGTAGAGACAAAGTCCCCCTACAGCCAGGCCATCTTGCGCACGGTAACCCCGTTTACACCGAGGGTGATGTCAGTTCCACTGCCGACAAACTTCCGTCCGTGGCAGATCAAGGCTTACAGCGGGACGACGGATTCCCAGGATCATTTGTCAAAATTCTACGCTTCGATGGAGGCGGCGGCAGCCCCGGACGAGGTCAAGTGCAGGTGCTTCCTCGCGACACTAAAGGGCTCCGCGTGCGATTGGTTCAACCGGCTCCCAAAGGGAACCATTGACGATTGGGATACGCTGGCGGAGAAGTTCTTGACGCATTTCGCAGCCAACCGAAGGCAAAAGCTGCCTTATTCCCACCTGCTCAACATATGCATCCGAAAGGGAGAAAAGGTCCGCGACTTCATAGTCCGGTGGGAGAAGGAAGCCAGAGACGTGCATGGGGCGGATGACCAAGCGTTGGTTGCCATGTTCCAAGCAGCCCTCCCCCGCGGAGAGGTGAGGAAGGAGCTCCGCAAGAATCCTCCCCCCCACGTACCAAGAGACCTTGGCGCGCGCAAAGTTCTTAGCCTCGGAGGAGTTCGATGACGCCCTGGAATCCGAGGCCGTGCCGGCTNTTCAAGCTTCAACGGGTGCTTGAAAAACCGGTACAACTTGAGAACTTGAATCACACAAGCCTCACTTTCTTACAACAACAAGACTTGAGTCACACAAGTCTTTTGAACAACACTCAAATGAGATTGAGTTTACAACACAAGAATGAAAGCTCACACAATTGAGCAAAGTAGTGTTTGAAGGATTAAAGCTCTATGGATGACAACTTCTTTAGCACTTAAAGAAAATATTTTTAACTCTCAAAAATAATGTTTTGATGAGGAAGATGAAGCAAGGAATGACAAAGGCTCAATGAATATTTTGAGTGCAAGAAGGAAGTGTGGAGAAGAAGGAGAATGAGGGATTAAATAGGCTGACTGAAAAAATAAATCCGTTGGAGCAGGTTGAGAATATGCACCAGATAAAATTAATCGATTAAGGTAGAAGGTTAAATCGATTACGGTACACAGAAGCGAAAGGCCTGAAAAGAAAAACAGACCATAATCGATTAAATGAAGTCCATTAATCGATTAATAGGCTCTGTCCGAACTAATCGATTAATTGCTGAGAAATAATCGATTATTGTTCAAAATTGAGCAGCCTCACCGAAAAGCATATAAATCGATTAAAGTGAAGTAACAAATCGATTAGGCGGTTCTGTCCAAGCTAATCAATTTTCATAAAAGAAAAAATCGATTAAGTTTTATGTCCTGAGAAATTGCGCTGGATCTAATCGATTATCCTAGAGGAAATAATCGATTAACAAGAAAATAATGCGCAAACACAAAGGGCCCAAGCCAATTGCGATTGGAATGGGTTTGGATTGTAACTCGTTGTTTGGGACAACGGACGCTCCTGGTATAATATCTCCATATTCAATGAATTTGAGTAGGGGAGAGAAAAAGAGAGTCCAAAAATTATTTTGTGTGTTTAAACGATGTACACAAAAAAATATTTAAAGTAAATTTTTCTTACCAAGTAAAATTTGTGTAATCTTAAAAAAAGTTTTTAAGAAGTTTTGACACACTTATTTTGAAACGGACTCAGTAAAATATTTTAGACAGAGGAAAAGTGATTTTTCAACTGACTCAAAATAATAATAATAATAATTTTTATCCCTCAGAAATTAAATTGTTTTGTGCAGAAGATATTGTCATCCTTACAAAAATTCCTAGACTTAATAAAAATAAAAAGTCTTCGGAGTCTTCGCTTCACTTCAAAAAAAAACTGCGTAGCGGTGAGCGTGAATTATCGCCGAAACTTCTTGATGCCCTTCTTTGCTTTTCTCGATCCGAATAAATTTTCGAATATCGATTTAATCATCCTCTTTGTCATTCATCAAAACAAAAATAATCCAAAAAATAATAAAGGGGTTTGAACTCATGTCCAACAATTTCCCCCTTTTTGATAATGACAAACATAGTTGAGAAAGAGCAAAGTAAGAGTTCAGAAAATACTTCCTTTTAAGAATAATTCCCCCTGCAAGGTTAGAGAAGTGCAAAAATAATTATCGGAGTAATAAGCGGAAAAAATTTGAAAAAAAAGGTTTTCTCAACGATCCTTTTCCCCCTTTTGGCATTATCAAATGATAACCTTCCCCCTTAATTGATGCCGGGATTTTGAAGGATAGAAAAAAATTGTAAGAGTTTTCAAAAAAAACTTCTAACACGAATTGCCACAAAGGGACAATATGTTCTAAAAGAGAACCATATTAGCAACAACATCATTCACCAAAAGAGTTATAACAACAATAGCAAATAACAATGTATCATAAAAAGTTAAGACAGAAGAGAAAATAAAAATCAAAGAGAGTTCGCCGGACGAGCTCCTCCGCTGAAGCTGTGACGCGGGCCACGGTAGGAGCGGGAATGCTCGAAACGAGTCATTCTCTCGTTGAGCTGGCGAACGTCGTCTCGGATGCATGTGAGAGTATCAAAGATCCTCTTCACCCAAGAGGGTTCTGGTTCTTCTTTTCTCGGTCGAGTCTTGCGTTGACGAGTGACGCGTTCCGTGGCTCGACTTCCTCCGGCTTGAGATGACTCAGCTTGATTCTCGTTTTGGCTTTCTTCTTCTTCTTCGGCAACTATCAGGTCTAGATTTGGTGCAGCATCGCCCTCCTCTCGATACACGATCCGGGAAAACTTGGCTTCAGTGATGAAGCACGTCTTCTTGACCAGCACCTGAGTGTCCCGAGTAAAATCCACTTTGCTACGAGCAAGGATATGCATGATCGGGATGGCAAAATGGAGATGGGAAAAACGAGTACCATCACTAAGTGCAACGACAAAGAAGTGAACCCAATCAAATTTGACATTGTTCAACAGGACGTGAAACAAACGAATATCATCCTTGTTGACAACGCCATGGTTCGAATCACGGGGCAATAAAACATAGGAGAAGATGTATTGTTGAACGTGTTGAATCAAAGTGAGGTTGATGACACTCGGGTTGTTAGAGTTTCTAAACTTGAGGTCACGAGAGTCTAACCCGAGTTGTCGCCAAATTGCCTCATCTTGGAATGTTTCATCCAAGTTTTTGGTAATTTCACCTCGGCGAAGGCCAAAGAGAGAGGTCAAACCGGCACTATCAATTTCAATGCTTTTGCCGTCAACATAGGAAACGAGAGATGGCGAGTCTCCCTTAGTGGTACGAAGATTTGCATAAAATTGACGTATAAGATTTGGACAAAAGAATTCATACGTCAAGTGAATGAAACGAAGCAAATTTTGCTCAGCAAAA